TCCATCCCTTGACCCACCAATTCTATTCCTATACATATCTCCAGTGGAATATACAAAACAGTAGAATTATTTGTAGTAGCTCCAAACAGGCCACGACTTCAATGATCTTTGACATCAGGATTAAATGGAGTAATAAATTATGGTTTTTTAAAAAAAAGGAAAAACAACCAACAAGGAACAAGAAATAAGTGCAAGAAACTTTAATAACAAAAAAAAAACGGGAACAAAAAAAACCAAAAAACAAAAAAAAAGGGTAAAAAAATAAAAAAAATTAAGAATGAAAACCAAGAAAAACAATTTAAAGAAGTTGAAAACAAGGGGAAGAATAACCTTTGAGTTATTTGGAGAGAGCATGAATGAAATAATGTTCTGTTATGAATTATGGTTACCTGGAGATGCTCACATTGAACTGTACTTTTATCGCCATTTTCTGTACCAATTTTATATTTTAATAAACATTGAATATATTGTCAAATGAAAGATATTGTGACACAACAAAGCTAGCAACATCACAATATGAATAATAATCTACAATTTTCCATAAAAACAAATGCTTCTATATATACATATTTGCTTGCATATACATGATGCAAATAGTAGAACATATTCAGATCTATGAAGGATATAACAGAAACTGGTGGGGTTGTGGTGTGGAGAGCACATGGTTAACATGCATGTAGTCCCCAGTACAGAAAGAAAAAACTGGTAACAGTGCTCAAGAGAACCAGACCATTAGCTGACAGTGATGTGAAAGAGATTTACTTTTCATTAGTCGTCTTTCCTATCTTAAAAGTTGTGTATTTGGCTCAATCCCCAGCACCACACACACACACGCAGACACACAAAGTTGTGTATCTGGGCTGGGTGCTGTGGCACATGCCTGTAATCCCAGTGATTTTGGAGGTAGAGGCAGGAGGACTTCAAGCTCAAAGACAGCCTCAGCAACTTAGTAAGACCCTAAGCAACTTAGTAAGATGCTGTCTCAAAATAAAATAAATAAGTAAATAAAAGGGTTGGGGATGATGCTCAGTGGTTAAGCACCCTTTGTTCAAGACTTGCCACAAAAAAATTGCATATTCAGAACTGGTATGGGGTCATGTGTCACAAAATTAAGCTTTTATCTCTGTATTTGGCCAAAATAAACTATTCAGCTTTGTACTTGAAATCCCAAAACTTGTATATGATTAATAATTATGTGAACTCATGGGTATAATTATATCTATCAAATGTAACTATTAATACACACAAAGACTTTTTAGGATTTATTGTTAATATCCACATACTCATTTCCTGTTTAGGTAAGAATCTAGAGTCTACTTGAGATGAGAAATATCTTTATATGTTGCCAGTTAATTGAAATGTAAATATACATTCATTATTGCAGTCAAAATTGCTATAATAATTGAGTGTGAAAGCTGTTAGTGTCATATACAGAAACAAGTACTTTCATAAATTTAAAAAAACAGGGAAAGTTCTATGCTAAGTTCTGGATACAGTGATTAAACCATTGATATGAATGTATACCTAATAGGTAAGAAATACTAAATGAGTGAAATAATGACAACGATAAGAAACAATTGCAAATCATTATGTGTTAAAAAGATTAAAGACTGTTATCCTATAAAATTTCACTTGGACCCTAGTGTAGATGGAGCATTCTGAGAAGGTCTTTCTTTTTTTTTAGTTGTAGATGGATGAAATACCTTTATTTTATTTATTTATTTTTATGTGGTGCTGAGGATTGAACTCAGTGCCTCACACATACTAGACAAGTGCTCTAGTGCTAGGTAAGCTGTCTACTATTGAGCCACAACCCCAGGCCGAGAAGGTCTCTTTGAATAGGGTCATTAGTGGGGCCTTAGCTTACTAAGAATTAAAATGAAGGAATTAACCATGAGATGGGTTGAACATGGGTGTGCACACTCACATGCAAGTGTGTTTTATGCTTGGGAAGGCCCTGAGGTGAGAAAGACTGTGGCACTCTTCAGGAACTGAAAGAAGGTTAGTACAGCTGGGCATTGTGAGAGGGTGAAGAATGGTATGGTTGTCAGTTTTTGGCTTGCAAATAAACAGATTCTGTGGCTGAATTAAGACAGAGGTTACTAAAGGGTTGGAATTCTTGCACACATGATTGCCAGGAGGGCTGGAGAAATAGGTATGGGGTATGTGGTCTCTATATCCACTAACTTTGGGCCTCAGAACTGGTCCAGTGAGGGTATGTTGCTGACACTGCTAACAACCTGAACTTCTGGAACTCCTTCAGCTGTCACAACTCTGCAGTGGGTGAGTTAAATGGGCAAATTCCAGGTCTGTGCCTGCACATTTACTGCAAAAAAGACTGGGAAATGACAATATTAGTATAGCTTCCTTAACACAGACTGAAAAAGAGTGACTTAACAAGCTGTCTTTGTCATTTAACAGTCCAACCAGGTGAACAGTCCAGAGGTGTAGGGCGCTTCCTTTCCTGCTCCTCCATTTTTTGTGATGTTGCTTTTTTCTTCATAGTGGAATATGGCTCATCATCAGCCCTACATCCAAGCTTCAGACAATAGGAAGTGAAGCAGAGTACAGGCTAGGAGAAAGACAATGAAGGGGGCACTCCTATAAGCTTCAGGGTAAGTTAGTTTGTTGAACCCGATGCAAAGAAAAGACCACAAACTCCAGTTTTAACCAAATTAAAGCAAGCTTATATTGTATATACAAGTGAGGTGGCCAGCGACTATCTCACCCAAAATTGCAGAGCCTGAGAACAGACCCCCAGCTCTCCAGGAAAAAGGTTTTATAGCACAAAAAGTTACAAAGGAGGTTGTCTTGGGAACTTACAGCTAACAGGGTTCTGACAAACATAATATAAAGGGAGATAGCAGATTAATTATCTACATGGCTTAACATTTCAAGGTAGGGATTAAATTGAGATCCCAACATCAGAATTTATGAGGGGCTGCTAAGGTTTTAGGGAGTGTTGTTATCTGGTCAATGAGAGCTAGGCATGGGTGAGTTTAGAGCATGGGCAGGAATTCCGAACAAGATTAGCCCTCAGAGTATGATCAGTCCAAATAGCAATCTTAGTAAAACAGAAATGAATTTTTCATAACTTTGTGCCTTGATGGCTCCCAATCTTAGGATAGAATTAGGTTGGGCTCATCAAGTTGACTTTCAGGGGTGAGGGAGGGAGGAATAAGACATACATTAGGGGAAATGGGTCATATCTGGATATCTGGAGTCACATTTGGAACTGTTAAGACTACATTCCATCTGACATATTTTTTCCTGAGAAGTCTTTCTCACAGTCTTTAGTAACTGGGGACCTGGTTCTCTGGATCTCCTTATGATATGCTATTTAGTTTAGTAAACAATATTTTGATTTCTTCTATGTATTATGCTTAATACGAACCACTAGTATGAGATAATTATCCTGATAGCACTGGTAGCATTCAGTACACACGCATTATTATATATTACAGACTGAAAAGTCTTAACTCAGTCTAATGATTCTTTACATTTATATGGTACTTTAAAGATTTTTCAAATTCTTTCAAAAGATTTAATCTCATTACTCTTTAAAGTATCATCTTCAAATAGGTTTAGAAGTTACTTGAGATCACATGGTAGAATTGGGACTCAAATCCATGTTTTTGGAATCCTCATCCACTGTTCTTTTTCCAAATCAAAAACCACTTCTGGGGCTGGGTTTGTGTCTCAGTGGTAAAACGCTTGCGCAGCACACGTGGAAACACTGGGTTTGATCCCCAGCACCACATAAAAAGCTAAACAAAATAAAGGTATTGTGTCCATCTACAACTAAAAATATTTTAAAAACAGAACAAAAAAACTTCTAAACTATTCCAGGTAAGTCTCAAAAGTCTGTCTCTCCAGGTTGCAGGAATCAGGCCAGTCTCACAGTACCAGAATATCACCCATATCACTTACTAATATTACTGTAATATTAACATTAGTACATTTTTACTTATTATACTGTAAAGTGTTAAGTTTGTAATGAAATCTAGCAGCTACTACTTTAACCAACGGATCAAACTTAATTTTATTAAAAGTGGGAAAACTTGATATTATACACCTTCTGATATGAAGTGAAGCAATATGAAGTGAATAATATCATTTGAAGTATTTTTTTCCCCCTAAAATATGTTTCACTTGAATCAAGTCTTTAGATTCTAACATCTAGACTTAGCGTACAGTTCTCTGGGAATATAGAGAAACAAGTTAAATGACTCTATGAAATAAAAAATCAAATACTGAAAACAGAACATTTTACAAGGCTTCTAGCTTCTATCCTAAAAGAGTCAATATCAGAGGGGGCGGGGAATGACCCTTGGTTGGATTCTGGTTAAACACACACGGCATACTTTAAGTCAGTATATTTTTTTGTTTGCTGGTATAATTTTCTTAGGTGTAATAAGGACATTGTAGTTTTATAGGATATTGTCCCCCTCCCCATTCACTTATTATTATGCCGTTTGGGGAATTGAATCCAGGACCTTGTACATGCTAAGCAGGAGCTCTACCACTGAGCTACACCTCAGTACAGGATATCACTCTTATTCTGTTGAAAATGAATATTATAGTATCTAAGTGTAAAATGTTACGAGGAAAAGTATCAGTTCTGAACTGTTATGATGTCTGCAACTTAGTTTCCAAAGGTTCAACACAACAACTTTGAAAATGCAAGCAATTACACATACAGGTGGGTACAGTGAGTGATCAGAAACTGTAACATGTTAAGAATTGTTCTAGGTGGAGGGTATAACAGGTGTTCACCGAATTGTTCTTTTAACTTTTTCTACTGCACTAAAATTATCATCATAAAACGTTGAAAGGGAAGAAACCAGCCCATCCTCACTTAGCAAAGCCGCGGGGCGCTAGCTGCACCAGTAGAGTCCCCAGGAGCCCCGCAGCTGCTCCCGCCAGCCCGGTCTGGGCATGCTCTGAGGCCCGCCGCGCCCGCCCCGCCCCTCGGGCCCGCCCCGCCCCTCGGGCGTACGTGTGCGCACAGGGCGCCTGCGCGCGGGTTCCGGCAGCCCGCGAGACGCTGTCTGCGGGACTTGGTAGACGGCTGAGGTGCGGGAGCTGCGGGAGGATGGAGCCACTGAAGATGGAAAAGTTCACGACTGCCGACCGGGGAAACGGGCTGCGCGCAGTGGCCCCGCTACGCCCCGGGGAGCTGCTCTTTCGCTCGGATCCTTTGGCGTACACGGTGTGCAAGGGGAGTCGTGGCGTCGTCTGCGACCGCTGCCTCCTCGGGTACGTATGGAGCGCCTTTGCCCACCTTAGTCCCGAGCGGTGCGGGGGTCCAGAGTGCTGGGAGCGTGGTGTGGACAGTCCTCGGAGGACTCCGCCTGCACTCGGCTGTACAGCAGCTCGGCGGTTCCGCGGAGATCACGGGGCCCTCCACTCCCCACGGCACGCGTATTCCTGGGGGCAGGTCGCCCCTGACAGGCCCCGCCGGGAGGACCCCTCTGCTCTCCAGCCAAGCGGTTTGAGGGATCCCAGCCCCTGCTGCTCTATAGGGCAAACGAAGCAGGACCGGTTACCCAGGCTACTCCTTCCTCCCCAGTGTTGCAGGCTTGAGGGGAAGCGTTGGCTGTGGGTAATTTTGCTAGGGAACAAAAAGTCTATGTCGTGTGCGACAAGCTTCTTTGGTGTGGCTGTGGAAATCTTAAGTGGCAGGGGTGGGCGTGAAGGAGCAGGGATGTGCATAAAGCAGGCTCAGAGCTGAGGCCCTGCTGGCAAAGAACTAGGCTTGAAGAAGGCAGAAGAATCTTAGTGTTTACGGTGCACTTTTATGGTCCAGGTTTTGTGTGGCTCAGGGATATGGATATTAATGGAATATCCTTAAGAATTCCTAGAGGGCAGGTCGAGTGATAGAGTTACAGTGTATCAGAAGGGCTGACAAAGGGGTGCAAATAAAGTGTTGTGGTAGCCTACATAACTGAGATTCCTCAGTGTGCTTTTCCAGTTAGTGACTGCAGGCAAGTCTAACTCTTCAACACTTATCTAGTTGTGAGAATCCATGTGGCAGTGTTTTGGAAGCCTGGAAGCACAGTGCCAGTTTAAAGTTCTATGAGAAATCAACTTCTGGAAATATATATGTACTATACCTTTAGTACACAAGAATTGCATTCAGTTAAATAGTATTGAACTCCTACCATGCACAAAGCAGAAGAGCTCTTTTTTGTGATGGTTCAGATGATTTTAAGCATTCCTGCTCTTGCAGACCATCAGTCTGGGGTTGGGATGAATGAAGGCAGGGAGGTAATCAGTAGCTTTACCATTAATCTTATTATGTTCTTATTTGGTTCATATTTGCATTTTAAAGTTACCAAATAATTGTATCTGTTGCTTTCCAAAGTAATGCTGACAACACATACACCTGTTAAGGAGAGAGTACCTTGAAGTTTTTGTAAACTGTGGGATTGAAAGCAATTCATTCTTTCAAGACTTGACTTTTTTTTTTTTATGGAAGGCTTCAGCATTTAAAGTCATACATCTTTGATTCTTATTCAGGCAAATTATAGAAAGCAGGACTCTTAAACCATTGCATCCTTTGGCATGTATCCTGAATTTGAATATAGTCCAAAGCAGAGAACTTACTGTTTAGGTCCTTTAATATTAATTGATGGAGAAGACATGATTTAGTTCTTGGAACAGAAAAGTTTTGGAATGAATAAATGGTGACAAAGTAGTAACTGAATTATCAGAACTGAACTTGTTATTCTATGTCATTCCTGCTGTCCATTGCTCATTTTTCTTGCAACAACTGTGGTGATTTAAGCACAAAAGAAATTTCTTTAAAGTGTATTGGGAAGCCTTAAATATTGCTTTACTATCTGGAGAAACCTGGCTTTGAAAGTGGGTAGGAACTATGTGAAAATTGCACTGTAAGAGTAGTTGGGTTAGGGTCTGGAAGTATATCACTTAAGTTGCCTGGTAAAAATGATTCTGCAGCATGTACCACCAGCATTATGGAAACTGGACCTTGCTACTGCTTTTTGGAATACTTATTGTTGCTGGAGAGTTGCTCTTTCAACCATTCTTCTTTGTGTTATTAATTTCTGATTCAAAATCCTTAGTGGTTCTCTTGGATTGGCTGAGTTTAGGCCACTCACTGCCTGTACACCACCTGCAAGAGAATTTGAGAAGGTAAGTATTTGATCTTTTTGGCTTTAAGACAGGAGGCAGGCTCTACTTTCCACAGATGTTCATCCAATGGGGAAATCAACAAATATAAACATAGAAAAAATGATGAAGGCTAATGCCAAGAATCCAAACAAAACAGACTGAACAGATGGATACTTCATGTTCACTAACAGATACTTGCTTATTAGTTCTTTGCACAAAAAATTTATTTGTGCTTATTTTGTGTTGCCAGGATATCTATCTGTGTATCTGTGCATCCAACCATCTATCCTGGTGGCCACGTATACCATAGTTCACTTGTGTTGCAGTGGGCACTTCATTGAACACTTCCTCTTCAGTGGTTGTAGTATTCTCAACTGAGTAGTTGGGATTCATGTCAGCCTGCAAATATTGCTGGGGAAATGTTGGTGCATCATTTTGTCAAGTTTTCTACCACTTTTGAATGCCCATCATTGGGGGTTAAGTATCTTTGTTTTTTCTCTTGTAAGTAAAATTGTTTCTCTTTATTGACTATCAATTATGATAGTCAATTTGAGAACAGATATTTCATTTTTCAATTATTATAGGCCTAATAGGTAGCACACAGTGTGCTCTTAGACGGTAGTATAAATGTCTAGCAGAAATTTTCTGCTAACTGAACCAGCTCTTCTGCTGTTGTTTTGTATGTAAATTAAGTAATGGAATAAAAATGTTATATACTTTTTAACAACATGGGAAGGGGAACCAAGTAGAACAAACAAACAAACAAACAAAAACATTTGTTTTAATTACTTCATTAGTCTCTGAAAATGGTTGTTACAGTGTTATACATACTTCCCTTGGCCCTAGGGCTGTTTTGATTGGTGCTTTAGTTCTACATATTTATTTTTGTTAATTGAGAAACTTGAACTTGCTTCATGGCTTCTCTTTCTCTTTTCTTCTCACTAAGGAATGGTTTCTGTTTTTTTATGTTGTGAGTGGAGAAGAAAATGAAGTAAGTCAGAGGAAGGCTAATTGACAATGACATTGTGACCTGAAATCATTTATATCATCCTTCCATCACACACATTTTTTAGTTTGATAGAGATAGAGAAGATCATTTGACAAATGAGTTACGCATATTTTCTCTTTGTTTTGGTAAACACAACACATAAAATTTCATTGTTATTATTGTGCTTGTAGGTCTCCTTACCCACAGAGTAGTATTCTAAATGTAATCTTTGTCCTTAGTATTTAAAGTACACTGTAAATGCTAATTGTTGAATTTTTAATAATTTTTATTTAAGGTTTTTTTTTTTTTTTTTTTTTTTTTAGAACCAGGGGCACTTAACCATAGATTCACATCCCCAACCCTTTTTATTTTGAGACAGGGTGTCACTAAGTTGCTTAGGGTCTTGCTAAGTTGCTGAGGCTGGCTTTGAACTTGTGATCCTTCTGCCTCAGCCTTCCTAGCTCCTGGAATTACAGGCTAATTGTTGAATTTTTGAAACGACAATGTTTTGGGTAAGTTTAAGTCAATATGTTTGTCTTTGGTTTTCCAAAGTTCCAAGTTGCCTATAGCTTCCATATAAAAGCTACCACTAGCACACTCTAATGATAGTTTCTTCTATCACATCCATCATTAAGCCTAATGTTGAGGCCTCGTGACTCCCAGGAGGAAGGAGGATGGCTTGGAAGTGGAAAGTCCATCCTTTTCAGCCCTGGTGAATTGTGGAAAAAAGGGGCATAGAGTAGGGAAAGCAAATTGTGATTTACACATTCTGAACTTTCTTGTCTGGCTAAAGTTCTGGGGATACAGAGGGAGTGCTAAGTGGACTCAGGGGACAGTTACCAGTACAGGAGATTTGGTTCTGCTCCCCGCCTTTTTTTTTTGTGTGTGTGTATGTGTGTGTGTGTGTGTGGTGGTACTAGGGAGTCAACCATGGACACCAGGGATGGAAGCCAGCATGACATCCCAAAAGATGAGGTGGTACCAGTTCAGTGACAAGACTTGACTACCTGTTTGCAGGAGAGACCTGTGAGGATCTAGAGACATGCCCCACATGTAAGGCCTTCTCACCATCAAGAATTACTGATAAGACCCTGGAGAAAAATTTACCTGAGAGCAGCCATTTAAACCAGTCCTGATAAGGAGTTTAACTTAGTCTGAATATTAACTGGAAGAGATTAAGGTATTATTTGACAAGTTTCAAGTTTTCTGGCTCTTTATTAGGGTAGATGTTAATGAAGAATTTTAGATTAGTTATCAAATGAACAGCACATGTAAAGGAGACAGATTAGATCAATTATAGAAAATAAAGTAGCTACATTTGAGTTTCAGTGTGAATAAATGTGAACAGGCAGTAAAGGAATATTAGGTTTAGTAAGATGATGGAGTCTGTCCTGGCTAAGGACTGAGCCTGGGGTATAGGCAGGAGGAAATAGCTTCATGTCATAGGTAAGAAGAAATTCCAGAGAAGCCAACAGCAGTGGTGTAAAGTTTGAGACAACCAGGGAAGTGGTTGCTAAGTAATTTGGCCTTAGAAGTTTTGCAATAATCTTCTAGGAGAGAAGAGTAAATTTCTTAGTGAAATATAGGGTTATTGGGAAGTCCTGAGGGTCCATTTAAAATTTGTAATCATTTATTTAAAGTAAGGAATGCTTAAGAGGGTATTGCTTTTTAAATATTCTCTCCCAGTGGCTAATTTCTTGGCACTGAGAATTGGGTTTACCCAGGATTGTCAGTTAGTGTGATGGATGAAGAGGGAGTAGTTGTTGGAAGTTGTAGGTAAGGGAGAATATAATCATGGATCATGGTTTCTAAATTAGGGAATGGAGTCTTGAGGAGGGTGATAGTGAAATGTGGTAGAATCATTGGATTACAGGTCCTGATGTGGTCAAAGATCAGGTGGAATGGTCAAAATTGGCTGAAAAAATATATATATATATATACATACACACACACACACACACACATACATACACTTATAAGTAGGACATGTATTGGTATATTAAAGAATGGCTGAGATCTGGAGTAAGAAAAGCCTGGCATGGTATTGCATTCCTATAATCCAGAATCTGAGAGGCTAAGGTAATAGATGAAATTTCTTCAAATGAAGTTATCAAGAAAGTTAGGCATTGGGGTG